TCAATTATCTTAATGTACAGCAACTAGCCGCTGTGCCGCTTCAAGGATTTTACCCTTTTTCTTGCATTGGTTTACGTATGCCCGCGTTGCACAATATAGTGTGCAAAGACGATGATGAATTCATGGGTTTCGAGGAATTCACAACAAATTCTTGAAAGAAATCCTTCAAAAGCTAAATTTGATGTATCTGACTGCACATGTTTGACTATATTCTGCGTCTGTAGGTGCACCGGGCGACTTTCATGTACCTCTTCTCCGAGATGGTCAAATATGCTATGCAAACATCAAAAAACCTTGATGATGCGCAGGCAAAGTTGGTTTATATTGGCTGTTGCTGCTTCATACGTGTTACCGATCGAAGTCTTATTGGTATTTTTATGCATTTTAGACTCGCTTCCTTTGGAGCACCAATTGGCAGGCAGATGCTAGATCTCGTCTTTCTACGTGAACGAATGCAAAAAAGGGAAATCCGTCTCTTAAGCTTTCTGATCTTCCTTAAAGGTGTCTTCTGGCGGTGTATTTTTGGGAAGGAGGCTGATGACCTAGAACGTGATGGTTTGGATGAACATACATGTACGTCCTAGTTTGGTGTGCTCATCCCGGTGGTTTCGTTACTTGTAGATTATATGATTGAGCGTGAGCCCATGGTTAACAAATTTACACGTTTTACTTATGAGCCCTCGGAATCTGAACGAAAAAATGGTGGGTCAATTTTGCTGACGCAAAAAGCACGTACACCAATACTTATTCGAAGTTGTTTCCATTCAGTCCCTCTTTTTTGCAGTTCCCCTAAATCTCGCTGCATTTAACTGCGGTATCATCGAGTCGGCACTGACTTGCGCTGGATTCGTGAGTTTATTAGGGCTCAATCCAGTTACAATTTCCTCACATTAATGGTGAATGCTAGAAAACAGGAGTTATGATGTTTTGTGTGTTAATTCATCGTTTCATTTATTTGTTTCTAAAGTTATTACTTACGACTCACTCGTTCCTCTACCTTTTCATCTCTCTTTTAATTATTGTATGTATTTTCTCGTCTACATTCATCCACGTGCAACCTCATTTATTGTTTTTTTCCCTAGTTACATGCGTTATTGAAGCTTTGATTTTTTCCCATTTCTACCTGTCCGTGAAACTTATTCACATGAAAAATGTTCACTCGATACACACTGACACATTTCTCTAGTTTGGTTATCTTCTCACCAAATCATTCCTTCACTCGGCTTTTGGCCGTTCCGTTCACCAGCAAAAT